ACATGCCAGTAAAACATCTCATCTGTTCATCACTTTGGTGCTTCAAATACAACTCCTCAGCCTCAACAGCTGCTGCAAGTGTGCGATGGACGACAATATCAGCATACCGTCGCAACGGTGACATGAAATGTGTGTACAAAGGGACAGCCAGTGCATAATGGCTCCCATTTTCACCATCTTTTAGTTCTCCATTGCAGAAATAACTCGCTAACTGCGTAGACCTTGTAGCATAGGATATCACAGCATCAAACAGCAAAGGATCATCATGAAATTTCATCCTTATCTGCTCTAATGACTGTTGGAACAGAAATGAAGAGGATGTGTCAAGTTCAAAGCCCTGCTTAGAACAAAATGATTCAAATTCTTTAAGTTTCCTGAATATAGGTTTAGGATGCCTTCTCAATAATGCTCTATCAGGAAAAGTTCTGGATATCACTTCGGCCACGGTCCTGTTTGCCAAAAGCACAAACTCCTCGACAAGAAAATTCGAATCCTTTCGCTCATGAAACGTACTATCATATGGAATTCCAAATTCATCATATAAAAACACTAATTTGGGATTCTCAATCCTCAAAGCCCCATCTCTAAATCTCTTCTCCTTTAGAGTTTTAGAAATTTCATTTAGAGTTCTAACAGATGAAATGATATCAAGCCATGTAGACTGGCCATGCAACTGGGGAACATATTGTCCTAAAACCTTTGAACTGTCAATAATGTCCTGAGCATTTCCATATGAGAGTTTGCAGCAAGAGCATATCACAGTACGGCCAATCCAACAATCTTCGACATCTCCACAATGGTTGATGTCCAAAAACAATGAAAACGCAAGTCGATCCACTCCGGGGTTAAGTGAACCGATATTCTCAGAGAGTAATGCTGGCAACATTGGTATCTTGCGTCGTAGAAGATAAACACTTGTCGATCGGATTCGAGCCTCTTTATCTAAGGCAGTGTCTGGCAATACAAAATGTGATACATCAGCAACATGAATGCCTACTCTAAAGATACCATTGGCTAACTTTTGAACCGAGAAAGCATCATCAAGATCCAAGGCAGATGGAGGATCAATAGTAAATATGCACAAGTTTCTTAGATCTCTTCTGCATTGAAATTCCTCTTGTGGGATCTTCCAAGGGGTATGAGGGAGACAAGACAATGAATCACGAGAGAATTCACATGTAAGAATTGCATTTTGAAATAAAATAGCATCAACATGAGACTCTATTCTACTTCCCCGTCCTAGAAAATGCATGACAAGTGCTTTTGGAGCTGAACTCTCTTCAAGCCATTCATCAATCCGTGCAGCCACCAGCTCACTTTCAACTGTGGCATCACCATTGTCCAATCTCTTCTTGATGCAGTCGGGTAAATCGACTGCACAAACCATCATTGTCGGGAATCTCGCATCGTTAGGCATCAATTGGACATATCCACGATTATGCAATGAAGATTTCATATAAATCTCGTGAAAGGAGAGGAATTTCTTGACATTAAGATGGCCAACAATAGTTTCTCGCTGCCGAGACTTCTTTAGGATGGCTACTACCTTACCAGTTGGTCTTTTTGTAGGAAATAAATCAATCACTGTACAGATCCTGCCAATGGGATCAACTGAAGGGGAACCCCAAAAACTCTCGGACATAACATTGGCATCTTCCAGTGAATGCATATTGTCATGGGCCTCACTAGTGCCTTTCATCCTACTCCATAACGAAAAAGGATTCATCTTCATTGCAACTATGTCTCCTTCCACCTAGATCAGGACAATGATTCCAAATCAATAAAAAAATTCCCCATATGTACATTTAGATTTGCTCTATTCGTAATTCTACAGCAGTCACAAGATGCAAGCATTTTTTAGTTCACTTTGTAACAGCCCAAGTCCATTTCTAGCTCCTTTTTCGAGCTTTTCTTCAAGGTTTTAAAACGCGTCCACTAGAAAGAGGTTTTCACACCCTTATAAGGAATACTTCGTTCCCTTCTCCAACTGATGTGGGATCTCACAATCCACCCTTCTTGGAGGCCCAGCATCTTCGCTGGTACACGGCTCGATGTCTAGCTTTGATACCATTTGTAACAGCCCAAGCTCACCGCTAGCAAATATTGTCTTTTTGGGCTTTCCCTTAAGGCTTTAAAACACGTCTATTAGGAAGAGGGTTCCAAATGCTTCGTTCCCCTCTCCAATCGATATGGGATCTCACAATCCATCCTCCTTGGAGGCCTAGCATCCTCGTTGGCACATCACTCGGTGTCTGGCTCTACCGATATGGGATCTCACAATCCATCCTCCTTGGAGGCCTAGCATCCTCGTTGGCACATCGCTCGGTGTCTGGCTCTGATACTATTTGTAACGGCTCAAGCTCACCGCTAGCAGATATTGTCCTTTTTGGGCTTTCCCTTCCGAGGTTTCCCTCAAGGTTTTAAAATGCATCTACTAGAGAGAGGTTTCTACACCTTTATAAGGAATGTTTCGTTCCCCTCTCCAACCGATGTGGGATCTCACAAGAGGCCCAGCATCCTAGCTAGCACACAACTCATTTTACTAAAAACGAACCAAAATGTTTCAAGCTTTCTAGAAACCCTACAACTAATTCCGAGTTTCTTGGATAACTCATCCATTTTGTGTTTGTATGTGTGCATGAAAGAGAGAGTATTTACAGCTCTGTTCTGAGACGCACTTCCATAGATTAAGACATCAACTGGTATTCCATCAATTTTGCAGTAGGCCTACAAAATAGATACATCGTGTTCAAACAAAACTCGAAAGAAATATGCGAACAAACATACTCAGTAGCTAATATTCAGAGAGATTTGACACAAACCTCAACTCTATAGTGAGCATTCATACGAAACAAAGCTTTAAATATGTCGCCTTTCTGCAAAAGTGGAAACAACAGCAAAATTGCAGCATCATATCACAAAATTTGATATCATTTGAACAATGAACTCACCCTACCAACTAGCATCAAGCAAATTCAGCATGTCAAACAGACCTGTAAGCCTCTAGTGACATCATCCAGGGACCAGTGAGACGTAAAATATTTCCTTTGACTGTTTACATCAGCAGGAGGCGAATGCTGGTTCATAGATATCCAAGGCATTCTTCCACTGGCAATCTGTTCCGGACATGATGTTATAGCCCATCGACCAGTATCCATGGAATGATGCTGGTTTCTCAAATTTTGTGACCATTCTGCTTGTTGGCCAATATGCAGAGGGGACAAAGAACTAAAGGAAAGCTTATTACTTCCGGTGAAACCAGGCTCGGTTGGCTGATTTGATTGACATGCATGTTGAGTCAAAGAAGAATAAAATGAGGGTTCTGTTAAGTTAGCATCAATTCTACAATTTTCCATGCACTCTGATGCTTCCCTCGGTATTTCATTGACTGAACTGCAAGACACTGCCAAAAGAGGCAACATATCTTGTAAGTTAAGGCATGTTAAGAGTGGAAAGATGGTTTAGGGGAAACAAAAGTAAACCATAAAAGCACCTTCCTGAGCAACAAAACACACATCTGAAACTATTGATTTAGAATAAGCACATATCAACGCACCCTGAGAAATTTGTCTCACTGCAATACTTAACAAAAAATAGCAAGTTCAAGCCCATTGCTTGAGAATATTGTCCTCTTTAGACTTTTCTTTTCGAACGGTCCCTCAAGATTTTTAAAATAAGTATGTTAGGGAGCGAGCTTTCCTTCAAGGTTTTTGAAACATATCTTGTTAGAGAGAAGTTTTCACGCCCTTATAATGAATGCTTTGTTCTTTTCCCCAATCAATGTGGATTCTCACAATCTACCCCCCTTCAGGTTCTAGCATTCTTGTTAACATTGCCTCGTGTCCACTCCTTCGGGGTTCAGCCTCCTCGCTTGCACGTCACCTAATGTCTGGCTCTAATACCATTTGTAATGGTCCAAGCCCACTGCTAGTAATATTGTCCTCTTTGGAGAATCTTTCCCTTTCATGCTTCCACTCAATGTTTTCAAAATGCAATAAAGGAGAAGTTTTCACACACTTATAAAGAATATTTCGCTCTACTCTCCAATCGACTTGAGATCTCACAATTTTCATAGATCAAAGTACATCCATATTCGGCAAACTCCCACGAATTAAGACTAAAATCAAGCAAAACAAGTTAAGAAGAGAAGAACACCTGCCCTCCAAATAGAGGCCTTCTGCTCATACCGCCAATTAGAACGATCCTTCTTCTTCCACTCCTCTCCGCCATCCTCGTTCCTCTGGGAAGTGGATTGCTCGACAGCTCCTCTCATAATTATGAAAACGCAAGAAGAATCAAACGGAACAAGAAATGGCAAAACCCCACAAAAAAAAAAACCTCAAATCCAAACGAATTTGAAAGATATAACAAGACAATCTTCCGACTTCGGAAATGGATATCAAGAACACAACAGAAGAAAATGATAAACGAATCAAACAGCAGCCATGAAAGAGAGCTGAGAAAGAAATCGCTAGTGTTGGTAAGACTGTGGAAGAAGAAAGGGACGCGATGAACGGTCGGCGAAGAAAATGGCGCCCACTTCGCGCCCTTTTTCCACTTCTTTCCGTTTCTTTTCATCTCCTTTTCTTTCTTTCTAATGCTGTTTAGTCACCTGACCGGTAAGATTAGTAAGTTCACTGACACGTGTCCTTCTCTGAGTGATGTCTTCCTCCGTCTACTTCCGATCATCCTCATCATCCAATTTACTATTTTGGCGGAAATAAATTCCATTTATGCTTTTTTAATTTATAAAAATTACTTAATTAAAATTCTTATTGGTTACATTTTTTTAAAGTATTTAAAATCAATTTTATTATTTTAAGGACTAAATTATTATTAAAAATTATATATTTTTTTTATGGGCGATGTTGACTGTGTCAAGGATTGTTGAATAACAAACTTCATTAACGCCTCATCCAGTTTATTAAATTTTAGAAAATAAAATCTTAATTATGACGTAGCTTTAGCCAATCAAAATCCGCGCAATCGTCGTATAAAACGGGCGGAATTTTCCGGTCGATCCAAAACCCATCTCTTAGAATATCGCGTTCTTTCTCTTCGACTCCGAGAAGGCTCTGGAAAGTCTCCCATGGCGTACGTTGAACGAGGTTCTCTCTCGGTTTCTAATCTGATATTTTTCGATTCCGCTTCTGAGAGTTTGGTTGATGACTTTCGGATTTGGAAATATTTTAGAGTTTTTGTGTGTTTGGATTGTCGGTGTATTTATTTTTTAATCCTGTTCCTATTTCCGTGGTAATATTCATTTTGTGGTAATTCGGATTTCGATTTGGTGCTTAGTAGGTTAGATCCAGTTGATTTTTTTTCTATGAGAATTTTTATCTGATTGCATCTCTTGATCGGAAACTTAGTGAATTTGATGTTATCAAATGGAAAAATCGTACACAAAGATATAACCACAGGAATGGAAATAATCCTAGGGCATTGCTTTAATCATTAAGAGGGGGAAAACTCTCGAATTCGAGTTAGGAAGAGACTGAGGTTCTACGATCTGGTGGAATGATAGGAAAAATAGAGAAATGTGGTAGATATATTCGGAAAATTTATAGTCGTTTGATAACTTATATCCTAAACTCTGCAACTTTGGTGGTACCTTTGTTATAAGCTTATATGAAGGCATTTGTTTAATTCTTAAGAGTGTTTGGATGAATTCACACCGTTTTCCTAATTTTTCAACTGTATCTCTAGTTCTACTCCGTGTTTATTGTCTGTCTCTACGGTTTTAGTGGATAGAACCGATGATGAAAAAGCCCTGGAAAATGGATATGCTTATTGACTTCTTCAGGCAGAACTTATACCATTCACTATAAGGGGGTCTTCTTTGCTTTTCCTTGTAAAATGCACCTGCTTAATATAAAATTTAAGAGTGTATTATAAGATGGTAGTTCATAATGGTAGACGTAGGTATCAGTTTGAAATTATGGTGAAGGAATCGATATATTTTCTTTTAAACTTGTTTTAGTTGCTTTATGTTAATTAGGCTCCGTTGTGTTAATGCTTAATGTTGAAGTCCATGTTATAAACCTTATGGAGGTTCTTCGTGTCTTCTTATTAAATTTTGTGAAATCATCACAATTTCAAGCAGTAGAGAGAGAAGATATTATGATTTTTAAATCTTCACGAGCTTATAATTTTGTTGTTCTATATTGCTGTTGATCTGAATCATTGTGCTAACATATATATTTCCTTGGTTTGGATGTTTTTCTGCACTCTCTTCAAGTGCTGGACAAGGCTTTGAAGTCATATTGATTTTTTTTATAATGAACCTTTAAAAGTGTGTGCAACCTGAGAACACTATCAGGAATCTTTTGTATCAATGCGTGCTTGAAATTCCGTTTGGTTGTTCCGTTAGCAGGATTCTCTAGAACCATTTCTGGATAAGTGAATATTGCATGTACCAAATATTTAGGTAGAACTTGTTTTTGGAATTCCTTTTAGTTGCTTCTTTCTGGTGAACTCTCTCCTATTAAGTCATGGGGGATGTTCATGTTTCCGAAGCATAAATTGATACTAAATTTTCCAGTATTAAACAGCTCTGTGTGAATCCCTATTGCACTCTGCTACCTGTCTCCTGGTACATCAGTTTTACATCTTTGTCAGAGTACTTAGAACGGCAAGATTATTGGGGAGCTAATGTGTTCCTTTCCTTTTTCAGTTTCACCTGCTTTGCATGACTTCATTAATGATCTCGTTCACCTCTTCTCTATGTACAGTTGTCCGTATGATACTGTTTTTTTTTTTTTTTGTTTTGTTATCTATTTGGATTGATTTGATGTTCAAGAGATTGAAGAGATGCTAAAATTGCTTTCACATTGCACAATGACCCATTTTTGACGATTCGTATATCCGGTTGATAAACTGGGTGTTATTCTCAGGTGTTACCATTCATCTGATAGTTTCTTTGAACTATGAAATTGAATGCTTCTGTGTTCTTGATTCCTAGCATGAAATAACCAGCTATGCACTTGCATGATATCTTGTAGGCGTTGTGAAATCCCAGAGATCATTTTGGCGTCTCAAAACCATAACTGATTTCTTTTGGGCCATTGTAAACATTATCGGTGTGTTTTTTACAACCTTATTCTCGGTAAGGTGTTCTTTGTTGTCTTGTGAATAATGTTAGGTATTCAGAACCATAATCATAGGATTAAATATTAACTTTCATGCTTCTTTCTAGATGGAAAAATCTGAGGCTTATAGAAAAGGATCTGGTTCTGGCAAGAAATGGGACGGTGGTGGCCCAGGAGGTCCCGGGTCAGGGCCTTATGGTGGTCGTCCACGTGGGCCACCTCGTGGTCTAGACAACGTTCGAGGGATCGATCATAGTAAGTTCAATGCTTGTTTTAGAACTTTTTTCCTCTATTCTTTCATTCAATTTACTTACCGTTCTGTGATCTGAACTATGACAACCAGGTTCACTACCTGCCTGTGGTTCGTGTTGCGGCTAAGCTTTTGGCTGCTTCCATGGTGCATTTACACAAGGGTGTCTAGAAAATACTGTTCAATTTAAAATCGTGGGCCGTGTTGTAAATGTTGATGGAATGCTATCTGCGAATATAAATTAGTTAATTAGATAGAAAAAAGGGTTCACTGATGTGGTTTCATAAATTAGTACTCAAAAGTTAATTTTGCCAATCAAAATCTGTAGTGTTTGGATAAAACTTTAAGATGCCAAAGCATTTTTAATATATTATATTGCAATGATTTCTTGTAATAATTTTTTCTTCACCAAAGTTTTTTGTTGGCTACCTTATATTTTGATATTATTTTTAAAAGAGAAAAAATTATTAGATGAACGTCGTAGTTTTTGAGAGGTCCTTTATCATCATTATTATTATTATTATTATTTTGCAAGCTTATTGACATGTTTTACATGCTATCAATATTGTTATCAAAATTTTGATTTTATATAAATACGAATATTTGATTCAAAGTATTAAACACTTTATATTATTTAATTTTAGATAATTGGGATTATATTATTTAATTTTAGATAATTAATTTAATTTATTTTTATTAAGTGAAAATTTAAAAATAATTTTAACAAAATAAATATTAAAAATTTGAGTTTATTAAACCGTCCTTTTTAATAATTATTATCAAATAAATAATTTTAATAAAACTATAAATTTTTAATACTAAATTATTAGTATACAATAATCCACACAAGAATTAAGGAGAAAGAGAAGGTTCATGTGTTTTGGGGACAGTTAGCTAAATGGTTGGTAAAACATTTAAAACCCTTCCTACCTACTATATCATTAATAGAATTAATAAGTCGTTAATTATATTTTATTAAGTTTGAATATTTTTTTATTAAAGGAATGATTTATCTATTTTATTTTCAAAGGTGGTGTATTATAGTAGAAATTCTCATTTAAATAAATATCATTTAAAAAAAACATATAAAAAAATGGATTTTTTTTTTAAAATTTTAAAAATTTAAAAGTTGGATGAAATTTATAAATTTTAAAAGTTTAATGGTATTTTTAAAATAAAATACGAAAATTTATGAATATTTTTTAAAAATAAAATGCATGATACTTTTTATTGAATTAACAAAAAAGAAATAAACGATCGTAACCAATTAAGTTTGGTTTTAATGGGCATCGGCATTCATGTGACAACAAAGACAAGTAATTTAGGCTTCATTTATTGGGGCTGGTTGTTACATGGAACGATCCACAACTGCCCACGTTTCTTCTACCTCTCTGCACCCTTCTACAAATCCCCCATCACCGGACTCCCAAACCCACCTACACTCATGGAGCTCGAGAAGGTCCAGGACATCGCTTCCGCCGTGCTCGCCGCCGGCACTCTCCCCGCCCAGTTCATCCGGCAGGAGACCGAGCAGCCTGGCATTACCACCGTCAAGGGCCAAACCCTTGCCGTTCCCGTCGTCGATTTCAGCAACCCAGATCAACACTCTGTTATTCAAGCCATCGACGATGCCTCTCGCCATTGGGGCATGTTTCAGATCATCAACCACAACATCCCCAATGAAGCAATCGCCCATTTGCAGGCCGTCGGGAAGGAATTCTTTGAGCTCCCAACAGAGGAGAAAGAGGTGTACGCTAAGCCCCCTGGTTCCAAATCCGTCGAAGGCTATGGAACTAAGCTCCAAAAGGAAGTCGGTGGAAAGAAGGATTGGGTCGACCATTTGTTCCATATCATTTGGCCGCCGTCCGCCATTAACTTCAAATTCTGGCCTCAAAAACCCCCTTCTTACAGGTATTCAATTTCTATTAAATTTCGACGGTGGATTTATGAGAATGATTATGAATTTATAGAGTTTGAGCCTTAAAGTTATAGTCAAAAGTGACTCAAGTATCAAACAAATAGTGTACATTGTTCGAGGATTCTAAAGAAGGAGTCGAACCTCACTTAAGAGGAAGGCTTGTTCGAGGGCTTTATAGACTTTAGGTGGAAGCTCTAGTGTACTTTGAGTACCTATTGGTTAATATAGGGAATGATCTAAGTAAGGAATGCATTTTAATTGGTAAGAGGCCTTAGACTCTCGCCTCGATTAAGAGTAGGCTGTTCGAAGGCTTCATAGGCTTCCGGGAAAGTTCTAATGTACTTTGAGTTCCACGTTAGCTAATTTAGGGAATAATCATGGGTACGAGGCCAGGATCACGAGAGTTTATGCTAATATAGAAATGCGTAATTAGTAACAGTTTCTATCTGAATTAGGGCGGCAAACGAGGAGTACAGAAAGCATTTACATGGGGTTGTGGATAAGCTGTTTAGAAGCCTGTCACTCGGACTGGGGCTTGAAGAACATGAACTGAAACAGAGTTCCGGTGGAGATGATTTAGTGTATTTAATGAAAATCAACTACTACCCACCATGTCCACGCCCTGATCTAGCTCTTGGAGTTGCTCCTCACACCGACATGTCGGTCATCACAATTCTTGTGCCCAATGATGTTCAAGGCCTCCAGGCGTTCAAAGATGGCCATTGGTACGATGTCAATTACATCCCCAACGCCCTCGTCATCCACATTGGCGATCAAATTGAGGTAAAATTGAGGTTTGATTTGATGCCCATTTTTTGAAGCTCTAGGGTTTATGAAAATGGAGCTTGATTTGGCAGATTCTGAGTAATGGGAAGTACAAGAGCGTGCTGCACAGGACGACGGTGAACAAGGAGAAGGCGAGGATATCGTGGCCGGTGTTCTTGGAGCCACCGGCAGAGTTTGAAGTTGGGCCTCATCCGAAACTGGTCAATGAAGACAATCCGCCGAAGTTCAAGACGAAGAAGTATGGTGAGTATGCGTATTGCAAGCTTAATAAAATTCCTCAGTGACTGTACTGAACCAAATTGCGCCGCCGCCTCCACCTTCGTCGTCGTTTGTTTTGTTTTGTCTTCTCCGGCGAGCCGCGGCGTCCTGCAATTGTTGTGTACGGTGCCATTGATTAGAAAAATGGTTTCGATTATTAACGAACTTTAAAATAACTAAATTGCAGTGTGGAACAGTTTCGTTTTGTGTAACTTTCATCCCAATTATTAATAATTATTATTTACAAACATTATGTGTCATATTGGATTATACAATTTTTTTATTCTGTTTTAGTTGTTATTTTTAGCCGAATTAGTATTTTCGAATTATTTTGTTTATTAATTAATTTTTCATTTTCAAGTCGAATGTGATTGAGATTTAGGGTTATGGCCGCATTCAGTTGAATTATAACCTTATTTTCGGTTGATAAGACAAAAATGTCAATCCACTAACCCAATTTTTGGTTTTCCAACAACTCTAATTTATATATATAAACGAAAGGTTCGAATGATAGAAGAAGCTAAAGAGGAAAGGGGTAACCAAGGGGACTAGCTTGCTTGCTTCCACCGGTGGCGTACAAAGGGTCCAAAAAAAGGAACACGTAGTCGGGGCGAGTCACAAAATCCAATAGTGATCTTTTCCTTCTTGTCCATCAATCGGAAAACCCAACTGGATACATAATATCAAATTTTTTTAAAATTTGTTTTATCATCGTAAAATTCATCCCATGATGATTTTCAGAATTTATAAAATTAATATCCATCCAAACCAAAGTTGTCCTATGATTTGACTCACATTTTTAAGTAGGCTTTAATTTAATATAGAGTACACCCATTATGGATAAAAAAATATAAAAAATTATAAAGTACTAATATCATATGAATTATCAAGATGGATTTACAACATTTTACTCGTTGAATCCTTGGGTCCAGACGGGTATAGAGTAAATCAAGACGCCTAATGCAAAGGAAATGGCCATCGTGAGGGCCGCATACGCGTAGGCTCTCCAAGGCTGATCGCTCAGCCTCATCGCATTGAACTCCGCAATGAACGTCGACACCGTGCTCAAACACCCCAACAGCCCCAGCTGCACCCCACTCGCTACCGTCTCCACCTTCTCCGTTTTCACAGCTTTCTTCACCGTCGCCAGCGCCGCCATCACACACGCCGCTAAAACATTCGCCATCAGAGTTCCAATCGGCACCCATTTCCACCGCCCTTTACGCCCCACTCCCCGCCCATTTAGCCTGGCTAAGAACCACCGCGCCCATACTCCCACCGGCCCCACCAGGCAACCCACCCACAGTTCCGCCGCCTCGCTGCTGAAATCTCTCTCCAGTAGGCTCCCACTGAGGCTCCATAATAGAATCAGCATCAGTGAAAACCCCACCATTGCTGCCAAGTCACGCTCGTAACTGTCCACTTTCAAGCACCAGCTGCAGGTTATGTTTTTTCTTTTCATAATCCATCGGAAGCCCTTTGCTGTCTCTATTCCGAAGATAATGGAGTACGCCACCAGAAACAAGCCTGCGGAAGAACCAGTAACATCTTGATATTGTTAAGGATCGTTGGAGTAGTCCTACACTCATTTAAGGAATAATCATAGATTTATAAGATTGTTGGGGAGGCATTTTAAGAGATTTTAAAATAAAGTCGGCTCAAATATTGTGGAGAATCGTGATTCTTAACTCTAACTCTAATAGATAAAACATAGTTTTGGTGTCTTTTGAGTCATTGTTTTACCTATGAGGAAACCGAGGATGGCAAAGAGCCAGCGGCCGTCGACACTTAGATCCAGCATTTTCTGATTCCATCCGCTGAATGTTGTTAGGCTTCCCAAGTAACCGGTTGTCAATCCAATGGATAGATAATCTGAAATGCCTGAAATGTCTCCTTTGAAAACAACACCCCACCATCCCATCAAGAATGATCCCACCTATCAGATTAATACAATAACAAATTTGCTTACTTTATTAAAGATTCTGCATAAAAGTAAGCATCCAAACCATCTTAGTATGCAAATTTTGAAAAGTGCTTTAAAGAAAAAGCACTTTTCATCTTTTTAAAAGCCTTTCTCCCTCCCCTACCAAATATTCTTTTAAAAAAGCTGCAAACCTTCTCTATTCATGCAAGGCGACCCATAAAATTCATACATAAGTTATTTACTACAAGAAAAGGTGGAGCACATTGGATTATAAGCTTTACTTTCACCCTTTTGAGATCAAATGAAATAGATATTTCAAAGGGTAGAGAAAAGGAAGATCAGTAACAGATGAGTAGAAGAAGAATTGGGAGGCAGACCATATTGGAAGGCAGATCTGGATACAGAATCGTCTCATTGCTCGTCACGTTTGCATTCTCTGGGCCAAACAACTTCTGTAGTCCATATCTTGTCAAGACCTGCACAACAACAAAAAATAGCTGTAAACAGAAAAGGTTTCAACAATCATAATCTTCATGCAACTCTTGAAAAGCTCAAACTTCGAACACCTTTTTTACACCAAAGCTTCTGTCACTCAAATCATAAAATACTGTCAACATATGTCAGTAAAGAGCAGATTTCTCAGTTGTAAATGAGAGGTCGGCGGTGTTTTCCTAAAAGTGCACTAGAAGATATCACTACTTAGAACTTTTGAAAATGGAAAATTTTCTGAGTTACCCCAAGAATTCCAAAAACAGCAAGATGAACAAGGCATGTTACATACTCCAACAGCCTTGAAAACTTCCTCTTGCTTTCCTGTTCATGAAACCAAATAAAACCCATAAATATCCGAAAAATGGAAGGAAGAAAAAAAAAAAACATTCAACTCAGCCGTCGTGGAATGGATGTCAAAATAAAACCCACTTGCTTTGTGTCTTCAGAATGATCTATGGGGCAGTTTGCAAGAGTGGACACGATTTCCTCAGCTTGAGGTGGCACAAGAGAAGCAGGAGTATTAACTGTTGCAGATTCACGACCTCGAAATCCATAGGATTGCACGAAGGCGTTCTCTGGAATTGGGGCAATTGCACCATTCTCCAAAGCACGATCGAGAGATAAGCTAAAGCGCTCACTATCACTGAATCTATTGCTGTAAAGAGCACGATCCCCAATGTCCCCCGCTTCTGAAACGCTCTCACTTTCAGCATCATGATCAGTTAGAGGAGGCTGATCGCAAGAAGAGTTAAAAGAGCTTCTCCTAAATGACGAGCCTAAACTCCTAGCTCGATTAAGCGGAATTCCTTGTCTGGTTTCTGGGTTGCTACCCCCATGATCCATGACCCTTTTGTGGAAGCAATCGAAAGAAAAAAAAAAAAAATCAGGGGATCAGATATGTAGGCAATTGAATGGCAGTGAACCTGACAGTGTTCAATTGTATTTTCTTTAACTTTCTCGCCCATGAATGAATTTATGGTCAACTACTCTGATTTGAGATTAAGGATAGATTAAAACTATATACAAATGCTTAATAATCCATGTATAATCGAATGGTTGTGGTTTATACGAATTTCAGCCAACGCAGTCCTTGAAAGAAAACAAATATAAGAAAAAACAAACAAGTACAACCGACTGCTGACTAAAATATGACAGAGGACGAAACCTTGTCTGTGATAAAATAATGGTGGAAGAAGCAGAGAATCTTTCCCTCACCCACCGGTTAGTGAACCAAATACGAAATCCCCAGCGAAGATGAAGATAAAAGTTTAGTTTATTTTGAAATTCAGAAGATATGTTTTCCATTAACAGAGAACTATCAAATCGTATAAATTGATTTCCACCTCTCTTTCATTGAATTTGAGGCTTCGAACCGAACCTCCGGTGAGATAGAATCTTGAAACGATTAGCATAAGTCTGTATTTAGGCCTAGACCAAATCAAATATACATACAATAAATGATACTCATAAAGAAGAGAGAGACAAATGAAAAGGTCAAACTACCGCGTCGGGATTCTAAATTTTGAGCGCCATTACAAGATTGAGATTCGCGCTCGGCTGAGACTGAAAGTGAACGAACCTGGGGTTATGGAATGCACGATGTGATAAGAAAACCGCGTCGTTGTGAGGAACAGTCAACGGCGATTTGCGATGCGATTTGAGAATAGAGAGTCGTCGAGGTAGTGATTAGTGGTGGTTTCTGATAAATCGCAGTGGAGAATGCTCGATTTTGTGGGCTGAATCGAAGAGGCGAAGGGGTTTTGATGGTGGAAAGGAGGAAAATGGAGATTCGGGAGAGAGGTGGAGGCGGAAGTGAAGGTTATGGCGGTTGGGAGGTGGCCGCAGGGAGGGGGCAGTTGCGCGCTATTTCACAATGTGGCCGAGAGAGATGGCTGCGGCATGGCTCCGTCTCCTCACTTTGACTCTGCTTCTCCCCTTTCTATTCTAACTCCTAATTAAAAGATAGTTTTACTTATTTTTTTATATTCAAAATTATTTTTAAATATATTTTTTTAATAAAAATAAATAAATAAAAATCAAACACTAAGGTGATTTGTAACGCTCTTGAAACAAGTCGGTTGAGTCAACTACCGAACCACTTAAATAGAGTTCAAAACTACAAGTAACTCTCTATTTTCTGATTGAGTTGAGCAGTATAATTATTTTTTTATAACTATTTTTTAAAAAAATTTCATAAATCTCACGTATCAAATATTCTTCATTTATTTTTGTAATAATCCTTACGACCCTCAAATATTCTTAATTAAAAGTAGAGTAGGGTTAGGTTGGGTAACCCACAAACGAACCCAAAATGTTACGTTGTAGGTTTAGGGTTTAGGGTTTAGAGCGTTCAAACCCAAATTTTCGCTCTATCTTGTTTTTACAGACCTTTTACGTGTTGAGTTTTTGTCAAATCAATGAGTTATTTCGACAAAGTATATTTATCTTAGCCTTTATCAAGCCTATATTTGTCTCTCTTGTCTACTTTTTGCCTTCTTCTTACTTACGTTTCATCTTAGGTTTGGTGTCCCTCTTGTCTGCATTTTGTCTTCTTCTTGTCTATATGTCTTATCTTGGGTTCAGTGCTCACTTTATATAGTGTGTTAGATGTTGCACCGTCTTATTCGATCGCATCATGATACTTGTGTTTTCTCGACTTTTATTTGGTCGGTTAGGTGCCACTTTTGTGTTACTAGTGACGGCCGATGGTCACAACCTACTTTTCTCATAGTATGATATGATATTCTCTCCACTTAAACTAGTCATCGATAAATTTTTCGAGACATATTCTTTTGGTCGGTTGAAATTGATTTAAAATGGATGGTCGGAATCCAAACTTTATATTTATTCAATGCTCTTCCCTGTCTTTTCCACGTCAGCCTCAAATTCTCCCTATCAAAACCTTTTTTTAATCTATTTTTTCATCATTTAAAAAGAATTAATTTTATGTTTTTATCTCAAATTTAGGTTATGGCAAACAAATCGTTTTTAAATTAATTCAAATGTTTACACTATCCACCTCTGGAGTTACGCTTTCTCACTAGCACACGGCTAGGTGGCTGACTCTAATATCATTTACAAGTAGATATTGTCTATTTTGACTCGTTACGTATCACTGTCAACCTCACAATTTTAATACCCTTTTATTATGGAGAGATTTTCGTAACTTTACAATGAATGTTTTATTTTTTTTCTCCAACCTATATGTAAATTGAAATTTGCTATATACTTTAGTTAATTAAGATATTTTCAAAATTAGATAACTAAATTAAATAAAAATAAAACGAGAATATTATGTTTTTTTTTAATTCTTTTCACATTTTTTCTTCAATTATAGTTTTTTTTACAAGCATATTATTTTTTAAATAATAATAATAGCAATTATAAACGGAATAAAATATGACCATTTTATATTGAACTGAATAATAATAATAAGTAATATTTTGCCTCAACCACTCCTAACTCCTTTATTAATTATGAATTCTATATAGATTAAGCAATATATCATTATAATTATATTTAACAATTAATTAATTAATGACTAATCCATAATTATTAACGTTAATCTCTCCCTAATTTATTAAACATCAATTAAACAAATTTGATATTCTAATTGAATGAGACAAATATATATATATATATATATATATATATATATATATATATATATATATATATCGACTCAACATTTTTGTAGACACAATCAATTATTTATGTTGTAAAATTTTAACCCGAACCATCATTATTAAATAATGAACTATTTCTTGGATTAAGTTTGTTCATAGATTGTTTAGTTATTTAAATTTTTACTTTTATAATTATTTTTGAGAATGATATGAATAAATATATATTTTTCGGCGTAATAATAATTAATATTTTTTGGATGACGTGTTCGTTTATGGTTAACTTGGTTGATCTGATTTGATGACGTGTCAGAAGTTCAGTGGTTATGCGAAGAGAGTTGATAAAGCAGCTGACATAAACATCCAATCATTGGATCCCACGTCACCCGAATTCTCCTTTTTCCCTGGAATCTCTGTTTCAGAGAGATGTACATTGCTCTGGGTATTCTCTCTGTTTCTTTTTCCATGGCGGAGGTGAAGAAATCGACCGGAACCGTGAAGTGGTTCAGTGCGCAGAAGGGGTTTGGCTTCATAGCTCCACATGATTCCGGCGAGGACCTTTTTGTCCACCACACCTCCATTCTGTCCGACGGATTTCGGACCCTTTTCAATGGTCAGGCGGTTGAATTTTCCATCGATTACGGCCAAGATCACCACGCCAAGCCCGTTGACGTTACTGTAATTGGTAGAACTAGCAGGTTCGGAGGTGGCCGTGGCGGTGGGAGAGGTAGAGGCACCGATTCTGGTCGGTTCAGCGGGCGAGGAGGTTATGGGGGTTTTGGCAAAGGAGAGTGTTACAATTGTGGTCGGATGGGTCATTTGGCGAGGGATTGTTACCGGGGAAATGGCCGTGCACCTCCCAACTGTGGACGGGGTCGTGGATACAGCGACAGTCGGGGATTTGGCGGTGATTGTTATAATTGTGGAGAAACAGGACATTTTGCTAGAGACGGTAAAAATGAAAGCAAATGACGAAGAAAAATTATAGTGATGTTCTTAACATATTTCATACCATTTTTGTATGTGAATTGTCCGTATAGTATAGTTAGTTTAAACTCTCCTTAAGAAAAATTATTCAATGAAATTGTCACAAATTATATCGAATTCATATAAGATATGATTTTTATTTTCGTAATAGTACCACTTGTTAATAAAGAAAGTTATTTGAGTTAGCTCACCCTAACTAGATCACAACCCTTTGTGTCAACCGTTGTAGCATGTGTGTCGCCTATGGCGTAAGGAGCCTGAGGATTTGCTGTCATCCTCACCTTCGTTCCACTTATCAATGGCAATCTATTTCGGGTTCCAACATCAATGGTTGACAATTGAACACGAGGGTGATACTCGTTGTAGGAACGACTGGGCCATTTGTTGAGGGATTATGATAAGCCCATAAGAGAATGGGGCCAACTCAAGAGCCTAATGCTGCTTTTCTCTGCCCCATTGCAAAAGGACGATGATGTGCTTTGGTCAATGCTCTCAAATTAAAAGAACAAGCCAATTATAATGCCAACCTTCATTTCATTTGTTCAAATGAAATAGGTTTTTTATTATTTCATTATTTCATTATTTCATAATCGAGTTTATAAAAGATAACAACGAGTCTTATATATGAACGTCGTGGGTTAGAATCCCAAAGACATTCAAATTTATATAGTTCTAGTTAGAAGTGCACACGGGTTAGGTTAAAAAGTTTTTTTGGATCAATCCGAAATTTTGGGTTGGTTGGGTTGGTGATCCGAGCAACCCATATAGTGTTCACAACTCAACCCAACACTCTATTTGCAAGTTGGATTGTCGTGTTGTTATTTTTTAAAAAAAATCATATTTATCCACTCGCATTAATAACTAAAATCTCATAAAACTCAAATATCAAACATTTATAGTATGGTCGAATAGGGTTGGTTGTAACTCTATATTCTGGTTGGTCGGTTTGACTCAATAAAAAAATAAGTTAATCTGTGAGTCGATCCAAATTTTCAATTTTCAAAAAATTTAATCGAGCTCATATCGAAAAAAAATCTAATCCATCCTCGAGTAGTCCAAGTTAATCGAATTATTGGGTCATATAAACACAAGTAATTTCGTATTATTGCTTATGTACTTATCTATGTGGACATAAAAGTGGAAATATGAAAGACGACTAGATTGTCCTTTACTTAAGAAGAATGCCGAGAGTATGACTAAAGTTTAGCATGTCGGTCGCAAAGGACAAAGATCGTATATTTATAACAAGAAATAATAACAAATCTATCTTCATCAAATTTGAGTCGTTGACATATCAAGTCTGGTTTTATGATTTCTTTTCATATATTATCGTTTGATCCTCGAAGAGAAAGGGCGCTAACAAATATTGTCCGTTTTAGCCCGTAACCTCATGATTTTAAAAACGTCATTATCATTTGACACTCGAAGAGAAAGGGTGACAAGATGACAATTTTAACGGCCCAAGCCCATTGCTAACAAATATTGTCCACTTTGACTCGTTATGTACAGAATTCAATCGCATGGTTTTAAAACGTGTTTGTTAGGGAAAGTTTTCACACCCTTGTAAGAAATGTTTCGTTCTCCTCTCCAATCGATATGGGATCTCAAGTTGTCATTAAAAAACAATAACGTTATTATCAAAAAGTTGCGACAAATTATAAATAAACGAGAAATTAGACAAGAGGGTAATTTTGTCATTTACATAAAAGTGTGGGAAATGAATAGAAGTTGCCAATGAAATGAATTGAGAGCTTCCAAACCTAGAGATCCTTTCACCTTTTCCGTTAGGACCCATCAAAATTTCCTCTTTAGTAATCAAACTTTTTGACCATTGACCTACCTTCGATGTGATGGCTCGGGTTCAGAGTCGTATGAGTTGGATTAGGTTATGAACTTATTTGAGTTTATCGTGTAAGACAAATTATTCGATGAAACCATCACAATGTGTCTGTCTCTTAATATACGTCGGATGAAACCCAAAAATATATTTATCATCTAGAAACTATCGGATATAAAAGCAAGAAATTTTTACAATTCTTCTCTCGATATTCAACCGTGCAAGTTACTGTAACTATATCATTGAATAATTTCTCAAACTCGTAGAGGTCCGGAGTTCAATCATTCGTTCTCATCTATGTCATAACTCGTCGAAGATACTCGGTTATTTAGATTTGACCTATAAATTTTCCTTGGTCCTCTCCTTTTCTCTCTCTACATGTATGGCCATTCAATAATTTTTGTAGTGTTAGGCAGTGATAGGACAGCTAGTTGGGACAATGACTATAAGCTGCCGTTCACATTCTCGAGATGAACTAATGACTTCTTTTAGCTGTCGTTTATGCAAAGAACAACAGGACAAGAACAAACCTTGTCAATGGCTCAAACACGAACCCTTGCCGTTCACAAATAACTTTATCATTTGAAACCATTTAAGTCTAATGTTAGTAGATATTGTCTGTTTTGTTTTGTTATGTATCACCGTTAGTTTCACGGTTTTAAAACACGTTTGTTAAGGAGAGGTTTCCATATCCTTATAATAAGGAATGTTTTATTTCTCTCTCCAACCGATACTATTTGTAAAAGCCTAAGCTCAACACTAGTAGTTATTGTCCACTTTTGCCTATTATGTAGTTGTCAACTTCACGATTTTTAAACATGCTGTTAGGAAAAGATTCTCATACCCTTATAAGAAATGTACCGATACGGGATCTCACAATCCATCTCCCTTGGGGGTCCAAAGTCTTCGTTGACACGCCTCTCGATGTCTCGCTTTGATACCATTTGTAACAGCCCAAACCGTCATTGGGACCAGCGTCTTCGCCAGTACACCGCCCGATGTCTGGCTCTAATATCATTTATAACAGTTCAACTCCACTACCAGCAGATATTGTTCATTTTGGCCCATTATGTATTGTCATTAGCCTCACAAATTTAAAACGTGTTTGTTTATTAGAGAGAGGTTTCTATACCCTTATAAGAAATCTTTCATTCCCCTCTTCAACCAATGCAGGATCTCACAATCCACCCCTTGGGAGCCCAACATCTTCGCTGGCACACTCCTTGTATCGGACTCTTTGATACCATTTGTAACAACCCAACCCCACCGCTAACAAATATTATCCGTTTTAGCTCGTTATATATCACCATCAACCTCGCAATGTTAAAACGCATTTATTAGAAAGATGTTCTCATACCCATATAAAAAATACTTCGTTCCCCACTCTAACAACGTTTCTCGCGCTTCCACACCATATGAATGAAGTTAACCCATAATGGGAAACGATGAATAGAATATCATTCATAAAGACAAAGACTTTAACAGCTAGTGGACTCTCACCAGTTACAAACTCAACAGGAGGTATGCATAGGGGTGCCCAACATCGCCAATACATGCAAAAGACAAACAAAAAGAAGAACAAATAGAAGGACTGCCAATCAATTTACACACAAACATGTTCATGTTCTTCTCAATGCTTGTGAGGAGGGCACTGGTAGCACTTAGTGAATAGCCCAAAGGTATTAACTTGATGAACAAAGTTGAGCATACTTGCCCACCCACCAAACCCAAATCCCACAATCAATACCCATCCAACAACAAATATGTTCACAGAGTATAGCCCTGCCCAGCCACCCAACAATGATGGAGCTCTCTCCACTGCATTCTGTGTTGTTCAACGCAGAAGAAACATGTTAAAAAGTTAACAAAAACTGAATTATGAATCAAAAGATACAAAAGTTATGAACCTCTCTTGATGATGAAGAAGCAAAAGTGACCATGTGAGCTAAAGCAGGGATGATGTAGACAGTGAAGCTGACGAGAAGTGATCCCACCGTCGAGTTGATCGGTCCAAAGAATGGGAAAATGATAGCCAAAAACCATATCGGTATCACGACTGGTAGTCTCGTAAGAGCTCTCTTGATCAAGCTTTTTGTTTCATGTACTCCAATGAATTTCTCCCATACAAAGTAGAGAGGTGTGCAGGCAAATCCAAATGTTATGAACTGTATGACAAATCAATCACTAATCTTAATGAATCTTATTCAAATGGGGTTTGATTTTTGAATAAGAATGTTACCTGATGGATGAGCATGAGGATGACAGCAGTGTCTCTAAAGGCAGTTCTAGGGAGCAAAGCAAGAGCATTGGAATGGGTCAAGAGGGCATCCCCAAATGCCCAGTAAACAGCTGAAGCTGATGGCAATGTCAGAGTAAGAACATAAAGGGTTGCTATCAAGTAAATAAGCTTGAACTTCTGTGGCTTCCACATGGCATGCATAATCTCCCTACATCATATCAGAATTGAACATAAAAATTGGCGTAAATGAGTGTATGAACGCTTAGATTGATCATTGAATTCTTACACTGTCACAGCATGTCCTCCAAAGGTGTAAAGAATGTTGGTAGCCCCAGTGAAGTATAGAACCATCGTAGTAGGCCCTGAGTGCTTTACTCCCTCAACCTTCATAGACAACAAACAGGATTCCAATGAAACCCAATTCAGCTAAAATCTAGTTTGATGGTTAAATTTAGATGTCTTTTAGTTTGAGATCTCATGTCAGTTGGAGAAGGGAACAAAACATTCCTTATAAGAGTGTAGAACTCTCTCTCTAGGAAACACGTTTTAAAACCGTGACATTGAGAACCAAAGCAGACAAGATCTGCTACCGGTGGGCTTAGGCTATTACAAATGGTATCAGAGCCAAACACCGAGCAGTGTGCCATCGAAGATGCTAAGCCCTCAAAGGGGCAGATTGTGAAATCTCACGTCAGTTGTAGAGGGAAACGAAGCTTTTCTCATAAGGGTGTAGAAACCTTTCTCTAGTAGACACGTTTTAAAACTGTGACACCGAGAACCAAAGTGGACAATATTTGTTAGCAGTGGGCTTAGGCTGTTAAAAATGGTATCAAAGCCAAACACCAAGCGGTGTGCTAGCAAGGACATTGGGTCCCCAAGAGAGTGGATTGTGAGATACCACATCAGTTGGAGAGAGGAACGAAGCATTCCTTATAAGGGTGTAGAAAACTCTCCACACATTTTAA